CTCCAACCCCCCCCCCCAAAACACAGGGAGGCCGCGCCTACCTGCATGTTAAAGTCGTCCAGCCGCCACTGCACCACATCCATCAGCGTGTCCAGCAGCGCGCGCCTGTGGCTCCCCGCGGCCCCAATTTTGGCCAGCGCCCATGCGGCATTGGCAAGCTCCTGCGGCTGCCAGTCCCCCGGCGCCAGCGACAGCGAGTCCAGCGATTGGCTCAGCAGCTGGTCGACAAACTCGCGCTGCGGCCGCGTGCGCACGCGCAGCCGCGCCCAGCCGACGAGCGCCGACGCGCAGTCGATCGGCTGGAAGGCGCGGAGGCACGTCGCGCCGCGGCGGCACAGCACGCCCAGCACGTCGTCGTCGTGGTGGTCGAGCACGCCGTACGACCAGCACGCCAGCGACACCGCCCAGGGGTCGAGCTCCTCGCCCTGCCGCAGAATGAGGTCTCCCAGCAGCGCCAGCGCCGGCGACACGTAGTCGTCGCGCGCCGCCTGCTGCGCCTCGCGCGTCGCGAGGCGGGCGGCGCGCAGGCGCCGCACGTACTGGCGGTGGAGGCAGGCGAGGCGGTGCAGCGCCTGGGACGTGTCGCGCGGGCGGAAGGCGCCGGACTCGGAGCGGAGCAGGTCCAGCAGCAGCGGCAGCGTGGTCGCGCTGCGCGGGCGCCGGGGGCGGGGTTGGGGGGATACAGGCGGGAGTGAGTGCTAGGCCAGTGGTGCTTGGCTGCCTGCAGATGCTCTCTCTACCTGCACGTCCAAGCGGGAAAAACATTCGCCCTGCGCTGCTCAGCGGAAAGGCTGGGGCTGCAGCTGAGGCCGCAGGCGCTCTTGCAGTGCGAGTGCCCGGCCACCAGGGGCAGGTCCGAGGGCAGGTGCCCTGCTGCTGTCACGAGGGCCGCTCACCCCTTGATCCTCTGCCCTAACCCGGGGACGTGCGCCAGGTCAGCCACGCCGCCCTCCATCACCGCAGAGGGGCCCCCAGGGGCGGCAAAGAGCGAGTGAATGTGGACGTCTGCGGGCAGGCATGTGGCGCGGCGGTGAGGGGCGGGGGGCGTAGCTTCTTGCGCAGGGCCGAGGCGCTCTCGTTTGTGGCGTTGATGTGTGCTGCAGGTACGTGTGCAGGTTGCGCCAGTGACAGCCAGGGCTTCATTGGCACCCCCACCAGCCGGCCCAGGCGTGCGTTGAACCTTGAATGGGGGACCCCCCACACACCTCCTAGGTGCATGCCCCTGCCCGACGTCGAGGGCGCCTCCAAGTCCTGCTCGACCGCCGCGCACGAAACATGCGGCCGCCATGGCGCCGGATAAATGCTGCAAGGTGGGATGGACGTCCTGCGCGGGACATGCGAACGATGACGTTAGCCCTGGTGGCCGGGGCGGCGGCAGCGGCGGCAGACCGTTCGCGCACACTTTGCCGAGGGAGCTCACCTTGGCCTACACCTCGAGCTGAGGCGGCGTTGGATCGCTTCCAAAGCTTCGGGACAGCGTGGCCCCGCCCTATGCGTCTGAGCAGGTCGCTGCAGCATCGCTGTGCACGTTCTCCAGCCTGTGAACCGCCATCATGCGCCGCCACAGCACAACCATGAAGTATTACAGGTACCAGTAATACGATGATATGCTGTCCGGGCCAATGCACGGCCCCAACAGCACGCAGCAAGAGGCTGCCCTATTTGCAGAGCGATACCCCACTCGCCCACGCAGTATACCGAATGAGCAGGCAGCAAATCACCATGCGCTACAATGCAGCTGCTTTGGGGCTCACGTCGGTCGCGGGGCGTCCCTCAGTCCATAAATGCGCCGCGGTCGACTCAGCTGAGCTGTCCTGTATACAGGGCAATTCAATCTATAAGCTTTGCGGCCTAAATAGCGCGGTCGAGCGCGCTGCCAGGTCGCTGACCGCGTCCAATGTGATCACCGGGTGCACCGAAGGTCTAGAAACGGTGCTGCCTATGCACTATGTAAATAATCAATGGTAACGATAGCCATGCGTTTGCCACTCAGCTGGATGAATGAAGGAACGCTCAAAGGGGGCTCGCTTCTCACCAGCCACCTTCACCGTTCTCGCTGCAAGCCCACCCTGCGCCTCCTTAGTCGCTCATTGATTACCCAATGCAAATATTATTTTGCAAGCTATCACTTTCCTCAGCGAAATTCAGCTCGTCCGGAGCCACGCATTGATGGCTCTGCTCGCCTCTCACGCCAGCCAGGCTCGCCTGGTGGCGCGCTCCCACCGCGTTCAGGCGTCACAATCGCCGCTGTGTGCTTCCCGGATCAGCAGGCGGGGTCTCGCCTGTCGCGCACAGCAGGAGACCGAGGCAGGCGCTTCTGCCGACACCACACAGCAGGCGGCGCCTGCGAAGCAGCAGGAGCAGCAGCAGCAGCAACAGCAGCAGCAGCAGCAGCCGGCAGCTGCGCCAGCGCCGACTGCACCGCTGCTCGCCAAGGGCCAGGGCACCGCTGTTTGGACGGGCGCCATATCCATCATTTTTGGGGTGGCGTACCTGGCCCTGGTGTTCTTCCTCGACAGCCGCGGCGGCGAGATGCTGCCGCCGCCGCCGGAGGCGTTCCTTCCCTAAACAGCGCGTGGCAGAAAGAGCACCACGGAAGGGCCGGCGCGCTGCTGCACGGTCGCATGGGGGCTGTGGCAACGGCGGCAGCGGTGCGAGGGAGTTGACGTGGCTCAAGAGCACACGTGCTTATTGTAGCAACGGGTCTAGCGACCGCATTGAAGCCTGATGCCATTCCTTCTCTACAATTTTGACGAGTTGTTGCTTGTGCGGTGTTGTATTGACACACTTTCGTTGCAACGATGAGGTTTTCAGCGGCAGGGACAGGACTGGACGACGATTTGAGCCCCAACCAACTTGTAACGGCCGCAACGTTTGTTTTAATCTACCATCCAATGCATTGTTGTGAAGACGACTGTCCAGAGTTGTGCGGGCGAGATGGGGTTGCAGCGCATCAGATGGGTTATAGAATGGATTACCAGACGGTACCGTACTTGTCCATTGCAGCGTCCACACATGCAGCCATACACACCCAAACCAATGTGAGTATCTGGAATGAAAGTATAGCTCAACTAGCTTGGAGTCGTAGTCGGCCGTCATTGTAACACAGGGGGCGTGAAGTGGCAAGTGTGTGGCAAGCAGCTGCTCAAAACGAATGGGATATTCCTGCCCGTACCCATTCTGAAATCTTCATTGTCGGCGCATTGGCCTGCACTTGCGCAGCCGTGGGCCTGCATGCGGTGACGCGTACTGTAGGGGGGGGGTGCGGAAATCCTGGAGCCGGCGCATCAGTGCAGGTGTTGCACGCTCGCTACACGGCGCCTTGTCACGCAAAACTCCCTGCAAATCCATTTGCATTGCTCATTGCCCATCACTGCGCTCAACTCAACAAGCGGACCGGTGGCACAGGAAGGGGACAGCTCTGCCTTGACGCAACGTGTAGTATCAGTAGAAACGTTCAGCAGACTCCATCCTTGAATAGAGAGGGACGCATAGACGCTGGATGGCCGCTTGCCCACACTGCACAGACAATGAGCGCACCTTCAGGGCCATGGGCGGCGTCGAGGCATCAGAGGTGGGGATGGAAGACGATTCGCTGAGGCTAGGACGTTTCTACGCGCTACACACCGCGTGTCTCACCCTCGAGTGCCTTTGCAGGTCTTTGAGCGACAGCTGGGCGCTTCTCCATACCTTCAACTTGGATGACTCGCCGGAGCGGTCTGGACTGCAGGTAGGGACTTGCGTGAGCGGGATGGCTGCCGCGGCTGTGCGCGCTCGCATGTCACTTTGTGTCCCAGCGCGCCCAGACGTTGCGTCAACAGCACACTCTATGCTGCACTGCGCCCCAGGCGCCTGCAGGCACCGTGCCTCAGCAGGCTGGTGCGCTTGACCATCAGCAGTCGTTGCCGTTTGGCGTCGGGCAGCCCGATGTGGACGGGGCCGGCAGCGGTGTTGCTGCGCTGTCGCCAAGGGCGGCCGTCAGGCAATCCAGCGACGATGCTATGCTTGCGAATGGCGGGCCGCTGCAGCCCCCGGAGCGGGCCGGCGGCGACGGCGGCAGCGGCGGGCACCAGCGGCGCAACTCATTCGCACCCGCGCTGCCCTGCGTGCTGGAGCGGGATTCGGGGGAAACTGGCGCGGCGGGCGCGGATGATGGCAGGTGGGTGGACCTTTCATGCCTGATGGCATCAGGCAGGGTGTACGATCGTCTTTGTAATCCCTGAAAAGAACGAGTATTGTGCTCAGGGCCAAGGTGACAAGTGCGGGACAACCCTGGCAGCCTGCATGGTGACCGTGCCTGGTGGTTTGACCGCGCACCACTGCCCTCCCCTGTTTCCCGGGCTCCGCAGGCCCGCCGCGCCGCCCGGCGACGACAGCGACGAGTTCACGCCCGCCCCCGCCAAGCGCGCCGGCGCCCGCCGCGGCGCACCCGCCCCCGGCGGCCGCGCGCGGGACGCGCTGCTCGCGCTCGACCCCAAGCGCGTCAAGCGCATCATCGCCAACCGCCTCAGCGCCGCGCGCTCCAAGGAGCGGCGCGTCAAGTACACCGCAGAGCTGGAGGACCAAGTCCGCGCCCTGGAGGACTCACTGGAGCGCCTCACCCGCGACGCCGAGGCGGCGCGCGCGCGCGCGGCCGCCGCGGCCCGCGCGCAGGCCGACGCAGACGGGCGCGCGCTCGGGCTGCAGCAGGTGGTGGCGCACGTGAGCGCGGCCAACCAGGCGCTGGCGGCGGAGCTGCTGGAGCTGCAGCGCACGCTGGGCCTGCCGGAGCAGCTGCCGGCGGCGGCGACGGCGGCGGCGGCGGCGGCGGCGGGGGTCGCAGCGCCGGGCGCGGCCACATCTGCGGCGGCAGGAGTGCTGGCCGCGGGCCAGCTCCAGTCGGCGGCCATAAAACATGAGCAGCAACAGCAGCAGCAGCAGCAGCAGCAGCAGCAGCAGCAGCAGCAGCAGGTGGATGTCGACATGCTGGGGCCCCACCAAGCGCCGCAGCTGCTGATGCAGGCCCAACCGCAACCGATGTGGGGCGTGTCAGCGCCGTCGGCGGCGGCCGAGCAGTATGCACACCTGCTGAAGCAGCACGCCCCAGCACCTTTGGGGACGGCCTGCCAGGCGCCGCAGCCGCCAGTCGCGCTTCCAGAACCGCTGGCCGACCGCGGCGGCGGCGGCGGCGGTGGCGGTGGCGGTGTCTTTGCTGGCGTCGGAGCCTCGGTGGACGACAGTGCGGCGACGACGCCCTCGGGGTCATGCAGGTCTGCGCGCGTATCAGACAGCTCCCCGCTGCCCACACGCCTGCAGCCGCTGCTCATGCAGCAACAGCAGCAGCATCACCACCACCAGCAGCAGCAGCAGCAGCAGCAGCATGCGCATCACCAGCGCACCCCCAGCCACCCGCTGCTCCTGTCGCAGCCGCTCGCGCTCAACCTGGCACTGGGGGGCCCCTTCGGCAGGGCGCGCGGCGACGACGCCGGCGCCGGCGCCGGCTCGTACTACCACCAGCGCTCCGCCAGTGCAGGCGGCGCGTTCCAGCACGAGGCGGACGGGCCCCTGCTGTTCGGCGACCCCCTAGCGGCGCAGGCGCCCTTGGCCGCGTACAGCCTGCAGCACCCGGCCGCGGGGGCCGCGGGCGTGTACGCGCCCGCGCCGCTGGCGCCGGCGGCGAGCGCGCCCATGGGGGGCCCACGGCTGGTTGGCACGTACATGGTCACCACCCTGGGGCCGCCCGGCATGATGGCGCTGGGCGACATCGGCGGCGGCGGGGCCGCGCCGGGCGCTGGCCACCCCCAAGTGGCGATGCCACCGCCCCTGGCCCCCTTCCCTGGTACTGGCTAGTCGCACAAACAGCGTTTGCAGGGCTGTTGTGATTCGCAGCGCTGCCCCCGTGCCGTGGACCAGCCCCGCTGTGACCCCTGCCGTACTGCCAAATGCTGCATGTGCCCGCTGGCCCTGCCTTGGTCTCCGCCTGTCTGGCGGGTGCAGTGATGACAGTTGCATGGTTGCTCAAGTGTTGCACTGCAAACCAGGGGTTTCACCCGGCTATGAAGGGGAGGGGCACTTCGAGCATGCAAAAAGCGAAAAGGCGTTGCCAATCTCCAAGCACTCGGCAAACGTGTGCATCCCCATGCACATTTCCACACCTCCCACAATCCCACAATCAGATCGTGATGGTCAGAGAACAGCTGCACCGGTCCCATTCTTTCACCCTTTTTTGCACAGACGATTTTGGAAGGGCAGCTATGCCTCTGGGGCGTCCCATACGGCGGGATGTCAGACCAGAGCATGCGCACCCGGGAATTCGGTTGAACTCACGCGAAATACCCTTTTGACCTTGACTGCCAACCCCAAGTACGCATGCCCCCCAAAACCATGGAAAACACGTGGCACGCAAGACCGTGTGTAACAAGCAGTCCTTGTAGCAGAGAACAAACCTTTGCACCCTCAGGATATGCGTGTCTCAGCATCTCCTCTCACGCCGCAGATGCTCACACACCCTCACCCCCGCGGCGCGCACTCCACTAGTCCACGCCTGGCGGTTGTCTGTGCAGCCTGACCAAGATGTGGTTGGAGCAGCTGCTGCAGGGCACCACCACCGCCTCCAATTCACACAGCTCGTCGTCATCAGGATTGAGGGCGTACACGTCGCCGCAGCGGCACACATAGGTGTACACCTTGCCGCCGCCTGCGTATGACGCGGGGCACAGCGGCATGGGCACCGTCTAGCCGTGGCCGAGCCAGAGCAAGCGCCAGCACCGAGCGCGTGCTGGATTTGACTGCGGGTTGACGCTCGACCGTGTGGCTCACCCTGAGGCTCCTCTTCCGCATGCATCTCGTCCAAATCGATCTCGTCTTGCAGCGTGACCACTGATCGCAGCTCCCGCTGGGTGAGGATGCGGTCGTAGCGCGCGCGCCGCTGCGGGTCGCGCAGCGTCTTGGATGGGGCAACACAGAGCAGGAGAGGGTGCATGGTTTTGGGCCAGGTGAACATGCCACGTGCGCGGATCCTACATGTTGCAGAAAGGTTGACAAATAGGACTTTGGTGTGCACACAGCCACAATGGCAATTGCATCGAGATAGGATTGCTATGCATGGCATACCAGGATCGTGAAATGTATGAAGGCTGCGATGGGGGGGGGGTACCCCACTCGCTTTGAGCACTGAGCTGCTTGCCACCCAGTTGCCACTACACGACCCCAGTGAGACGGTCACGGCCGACTACGACTCCAAGGTAGATGAGGCACGCTTGGATAACTTTACTACTGGATTGCCCCACCTGCCAGGCAATGTTTAGCGCATGAAAGGCGTCTCCTGTTGAATTTGCGCTGCCGCCGCCTGCGCTGCTGCTCACCCCGCCTGTCACGTTGGCACAGTCGCCGACACTGATGCTGCTGCTAAAATTATTCGCATGACAAAGCCGCTTGTCAGGGTGCAATCGGAGGGCTGTTTGATGATACGCTGCCTTGATTGCGTCGACGGTGGCGTCTCGTGAGACGCCGAGAACGTCGTAATACGTGCCAGACATTTCTGGTCAGTGATTGAGTGAGCTCTGCATCATACACTTACCGTACAGATCACACTAGCTACCGGTCACGCTCATCCCCGAGACCTGGAGCGGCAGTGGGCTCGTTGGCAGGATGAGAGCCTTGACACCAAAAAGTCCGTGTGACCTAACATCTGCACGACACTGCTGCTGCAACAAGCACTTGCTCCCTCCCCCCTCTTGATCCAATGCGTTGACCCGGGTGAGTGCAACGCATTACAGCAGCTGATGAGGGTCGTCCTATGTGAAGGGACAGTATGCACTAGACGCACCACACGCAGGTACGACACAGGACAATCACGCCGTGGGCGGGGCACCAGCATCGGCGGTTGGCCGCGGTGGGAACAGGGCAGCAAGGCCCCTGGGACCCGTGTGCAGGTAATTTGCCACCACCCCCATGATGGAGAAGACCACAGCGCTGGCAACATGCTGCATGCCCGACGTGCTCTTGAGGTTGGCGAGGCCGACGACGCACACCAACACTGCAACCCAGGCCAGGGGCACGTTCTGCGTACAAGAGGCGGCGCATGCGTTGAGTGTGTAGAGGCGGGCTCCGCCCCAGTGGTTTGTGACGTTCAGGTGTGCGGAGAGTGCGTGCTGCTGCAGCAGCATGCGCCACGTCGGTGCAGCTGCAGTGCACAGCAGCAGCAGCCAACGGCACCAGCACCGACATCGCTGTTGGCACCCAATGACAGCAGCCCATCACAGCTGCACGTTGCCTTTGCAGTGCTCTGCGCGCGGCTGCCATACCCCTTTCACATTCTGCTTGCAGGCGGATGGAAACACCAACCCTCACCTTGAGCATGAATCCCGCCAGACCAACTGCCATGGATATCACCAGATATATGTCGAGGTCGTCATCGGTCACCAACCGTGGTGGCCTTTCTGCCTCGTCCGGCCGCCGGGGATCACCCCCCACCGTCACAAACTGCAGAGCGCGTTGCGCAACAGAGCGCAGGTGCGGCAGCAGCGTTGCGCACAGCTTGAGCGAATGTTCGTTTGTGTGCCGGTTGCACAAAAGTTTCAGTGGCAGCTGCGGAACCCAGACCGCAGTGTTGCAGGAGCAAGCGGCAAACATGTGATCACACACCAACTGCCGGAACCCCCGCCCCTGAATACCGCTGTGCAATGCACCCGCTGCTTGCCTTGCCGCTCATGTGCGCCTCCTTGGTGCGCTTGTGCTCTTGCTGTGTTGTCCGTTCCGCACCCGTCCCGCGTCTTGCTGGCAGCTCTTGGCTTTGCTACCACTGGTATTGCTTAAATGCTCACAACGTCTTTAACCCTGCCAGGACAGCACAGGGAACAGGTGAAGTGTGGTTCAGTTGCCTCTTGTCTGCATAGACTGATCTGAATCAGATGTGTGTTGCGTGTTAGAAACAGAAATGAATGTCTCTGCAAGGCAACATCAATATGGAGGAGAGTCATTCCTATAGTTCAGCCAGATCGTCACTTACCCATCGCGGCAGGTGTCATGGCAATGAGTGCTGATGAGATGGCTTACTGTGACGATCAATTTCGAACACGAACACATCGTATTTGATAGGCTGATGGCAGTGAGGCATCCCAATCTCGCCGCAGTTCTATATCAGCCTTGCGTGACACCTGAGACGTGCTGTGCAGCAGCGATAACCATCACTGTCCTCCCCATCACTCATCATGCAAGCGGCAAATGGGCTGCAGCGGGCACCCCGCAGCGCCAGCAGCGCAATGCAGATGTTGCCACGCGCGCTGGAAGTATGCGGCCGGCGCGCCCTGAGCTGGCAGCGGCGGCAGCCGCGGCTGCAACTGCACCCACTGGCGTACACTGGCACCTATACAGACGGCTTCACGCCCTTGGACGATCCACCAAACCAGCGGGTGCGCAGCTGGGACCAGACTTGACCTGCCCCATCAAGAGGCGACAGGAGGTAGCAGTGATTTCCACATGCGGCTTTGACCATCCTTCTCTACGACAACTTCCACTCACAGGATCTCCTGGAGCGCGCCTTTGAGTTCTGCGGGGCCGCCTGCGGCAGCGCCGCCAGCGTTGCCGTCGCCCGCGCGGCGGACGTGCTGCAGGCCCTGGTGCCGCCCTCGACGCCCCGCAGCAAGGTGGAGACAGCCGTGAAGGGCGCGCTGGCGCTGCTTGTGCTGGCGCTGGTCAAGGGCGTGCTATCTGTGAGTGCATTTTGTGGCTTTGGGCTGCACGCTTGGTTTGGTGGCCGTGGTCCCCAGCAACAGCGGCAGCCCTGAGAAGAGGATACAGACCAGCTTCACCTAGCGCCAGCAGACATTCCGCTCGTGCTGCCTTGCTGACAATGCGTGCTGACCTTGCACCTCTGCGGTCCCTCTGTGTGCAGGTCGTGCTGGTGCTGGGCGTGGTGGTGCTGATGCTGTACGTCGCGACGCAGCTGTTTGGCTGGGATGTGTCTCTGGACCGCAACAGGCAGCCCGTCGGCCAGTGGTCCACAGGCAGCGGCGTCTGGCAGCAGCAGCAGCACCACCACCACCACCAACAGCAGCAGCAGGCGCCGCCGCAGCAGCAACCGCAGCAGCAACAGCATGGACCACAGCACCAGCAGCAGCAGCAGCAGCATGGGGGGGCGCAGGGTCACCCGCAGCAGCCTCGCTACGGCACGGGACCTTCAGGCCAGGGCTGGCAGCAGCCATGGCACAGCGCCTCTACGCAGGGCCATGGCCCGTTGCAGGACGACGTTATTGACGTGTGGCGCTAAGGGCGGGCCTGCCGCAGCACGACTTCCTCACGCCTGTACCAGCAGAATGCGTTTTATTCTACATTATGGAGAGACCGGCAAGTAACTTTTTTTTCAGACACACTCATGCCTGCATTGGAGCATGTAGCAAAGTTGCCTTTGCCAATCAATCTTTTTGTTACATGATGCATACCTTAGGTGAGAGTTTTGTCAAAGCTGATTCCTGCAACACAACCATGAACAGTGCCTGCATACATTCAGTTAAAATACATGGGTGCAGATATGAAGACACGAGGGCAGGGCTTGTATGCCTGGCCAGCAGTGCAATGAAACAGCTTTAAGATGTCGCTGCAATAGTGGGGGGCTGGTGCAAAGCGCTCCAGAACTCTCCAATCCACACAGAGCATTGCGCTGCACACCTGCATGCTGCTGATGCTATATGGTGAATCACTCAGTCAGCCATTGCAACCCTGCCCATAAACTCATCAACGCCTGCGCAAGACCACCAGTGCGTGTCACGAGACGCACCTCAGGCCGAGGTTTGCACCATGCGGCGCCTTTCCGGCCCTATCCTGCACACACCATTAAAGCAAGAACAGCTGTCAACCGCGCATGTGCTCATCGAAGGCTCCAGGAGGCAGTGGCAGCTGCCGAACTGCCTGTGTTGGAGCCAGGCCCCCACCGCCAGGCTGGGGTGCGGGAACGGTCTAACAGGGCCCCTCACCACAGCAGGCAGGACGTGTAAGTGACACAGTCACTCCAGACCTTGGCCCTGTACAGCGTACCGGCTGGCATTCGCTTGCATGCACCAACCGCAGTGCCCAGCGGCTTGTGTAACACACGCACAGCAGCCGGACAGCTGCCGCGGGGCCGCATCACATGCCCAGCAGACCCCCAAGCCCGGGGTAGCCGCTCATGAAGGCCCCTTGCCCCTGCATCCCGGCTGCCGCTGACTGCATTGCCATGGCCGACAGAGCCGCGTTGTATGCAGCCATGTCAGGAAGCGTCTGCAGCGCAGGGTCGTGCAGGCCAGGCCCCAACAGGCCCGCAGCGCCGCCCAGCGCAGCCAGCGTGCCAGAGCCCATGGCGCCATACCCACCCAGGCCGCTGTTGAGGCCGAGAGCATTGCTGCTGAGCCCACCAAAGCCCATGCTGCTGAGCTGCGCAGACAGGCCGTACGGCGCCGATTGCGGCGCCGAGGCTGCGACAGCTGCCGCAGCGGCCGCACTCATGGCCGCGGCCATGGCAGCGTCGTGCGCAGCGGTTGAGGCTGCGGCGATGCGCGCAGATGCGGCTGCGCTCGCTGCCGCGCCCATTGGTGCGCCCGCCGAGCCGCCGCTGCTGGCCCTGCCGAGAAGCTGGTGGTGGCCAAGCTGCTGCTGGTGCCCGAGCTGCTGCTGCGACTGCGCGTGCTGCTGCAGAGACGGGGCAGCGGCTGGCGCGCGGCCAGCAACAGAATGCTCGCCGGCCCCACAGGGGGCGGGCGTGCCGGCCTCGAGCCACCAGAGCATCTTGGCAATGATGGAGGGCGCACTCTCGCCCCGCTCCTTGCGACGCCGGAAGGCCTCCTGCTGCGGGGCCGACAGCGCCGGCAGCAGCGCGCCCACCACATGATCGATGGCGATGCATCGCACGGGAATGGCGCGCAGGCTCATCTGGCAAGCTGGGCATGCCGGCGTCGCCATCAGGTGGTCGCAGAGGCACTGCCCGCAGAACAGGTGGCCGCAGCTGAGCACAAGCGACCCCGCGACAGGCTCGCGGCAAAGGCCGCAGCGCAGGTGCGGCGTGAGGTCGTCGACACACACGCGGGGGCTCGACGGCGAGGAGCGGCCGCTGGGGGCGGCGGCGGCGGCGGCAAACTCCTTCGAATTGTCGCGTGTTGTCGAGGTGTCCCGCGTCGTGTCGCTGCATTCCGAGGCGCCGCATGACCCCTTGGTGCCATACGGCTGCGGTTATTAAGGGGGGAAGCAAGATAGGAGGTGGTGGAATGAGACTTGGTCACGACGCTGTACACAACAGCCAGCTGCAGGTGCAGAGCAGCGGGGCGGAGGGGAGTGATGCACTAGGGAACTGCCTTCACGCGAAGGCACGGTTCAAAAATCACAGGTACCATCAGAAATCGGTGCCAGTGGGTCACAGGGGGCTGACAATGCGCGATCTCTGGTCGCGCGCCAAAGCCGGGCTCTTCGCCCACCCCATGACAGAGCTGGCTGGCGAGCTCACACATGCAACCCAGCGGCTTTGTCTTACCTCAGTGTTGTCTTTCAGGCACATCCCGGGCTGCATGGCGATCTTTGGGGCGGGACCGCGGGAGATGAAGCCCTGACACGGCGACGCTGTCGGTGAAATCCGTTTTGGATACCCTGCAGGGCGTCACGCTAAGCCGGCAAGGCGCGTGCGAGCGTTCGCGAGGTCGGTGTGGGATATCGGGCGGGACTCTGCAATCGTCAGTTAGGTCACAATGTCACAATTGGTATAGGAAAGGGCAGCGCGTTTGCATATTCTGTTCCGGGCGATCACCGGCCTAAACGGCAAAATCAATGTGAAATCGCGCGCCAAAAACCGGGTGACTCCAACCTCCGAAGTACCATCAATGCTATGGATTATTCATGTCACATTAAGCCGCCTCCACCATTGATCATGGCGCCGCCTGCATCCTTGAGGTCGGTGGGGCCCGCGCGCATCGCTGCCTCCCAGGGTGACGCGTGCCCAACATGGTCAAGAATAAGGTTGGTCGTGTCAGTCGGCCCAGCTTGCGTAGGTTATGTGTAAGGTTATGACATTGATGCAGAGTGCAGGTGTTTGCACCGCAGCGGATTGCCAAAGCGCGCAGGCCAGCTGCGAACACTGTTGGCATGCTCCTTCGTCTTATTTGCCCTCCCATTGGCTCCTCTGTTATTTGTTGTGCAGGCCTCCACCCTTCTTGTCACGTTGTCAGCTGGCTGAAGATGAATCTGAGCACCCTCCCTCAAGCCTCTTGGCTCAAACTGCACAATACGATGGAAGACCTTTTTTGCGTAGCACCTGATGAAGACAAGTGCGAACCTGCAGGCCAGCTCTGAATGGCATGAACCTACATGTATGTATACTCCCACTTGGAAAAAAACTGCATGTCGCCGTCCGGTGATCACACCTCACGTACGTCCACACACAAACACACCGCTTTGCTGTCTCACCGCCTGTCCCCGATGCAAGCACAATCGTCCTGGCCTGGCCTGGTTTGCTTCCTTGCATGCCTTGGTACGTGTTACAATCCACATATTGTACAAACAAATGCATTTGTTTGAATGCCTCATCATTTCCAAAAAGGCCTTTGCGAGCCCTGGCCTGCCGTTTGAATAGCAAAACACACACTCGCAGTCACCGCGCCTCTGTTCATCCATTCACAGTACCCAGCACCACCCTAGCAGCGCGCCCAGCAGCAGCCCCAGCACGAGGCTGAACACCATCAGATTTTCCAGCATGTCAGCGGCAGCTACATTGGGGGCGGCGTCGTGCGCGCTCGTCATCACCAGCGCAGTGAGGTACCTTGGGGGTTGAGGGGTTTTGGGGGATGGAGCAGGGAGCAGGGTGAAGATCCTCACCCGACTGTATCCGAGCAAGGTCGCGATACAGTTGCATGCAGAAGTTGAGCTGCACAAAGCTTACGGGACGCATGCACCAGCCAAGTAAGGCTTGACGCAGCACGTTGAAGGCATGATTGTTGCGCCAAGCACGCACGCTCCGAGGTCTGCCTCGAAGCCGCCTGCCGCGCCGCCAGCGCACCCACCCGTTGCTTACGCCCAGCGTGACAGTGAGCGCCCCAATCACCGCCGCCGGCGCGCCAAGGCGCATGGCGAGCAGGAAAAGCGGCAGGAACAGGGCCCGTGCGGTCGACCAGCCCAGCAGTGTGCGGTGGCCCCGCTGTGTCAACTTGGGCAGAGGTGCATTCTTGCCCGCGAGGTCTGAGAAGTTGAACAGGGTCATGAGAATGAGAGGGTACCTGTGTGTGGATACATCAACAGGAATGCGCGCGTTATGTGTTTGTGTGTATGATGGTCACAAAGCCTGTGACCGCACAGTCGCAAGCATGCTGCTCAGTGAGGACCTATTCGTGGGAGTATGATGCTGCGCTGTGATGCCCGCCTGCACTGCTTTCCCCCAAACCATGAGGGTTCCAACACCTAGCGCAAGGCCCAGCACCCAAGGCCACAGCCCACCAGTCGCCCAGGGTGGCGTTGTGGGAGTCTTCAGCCAAGACACCAGGAAAGATGGCGATTGTCACCACTGGCGTCGCGCAGGGGCGGGGTCCAGGGCCGCATTGGGGTGGGAGGATCATTGGTGCGCAGCAGAGCAGCGATGCAGTGGGCGGTTGGGCTGCGCGTGGTGGAGCAGCATCGACAGCGTGATGAAGCAGGGGGGCAATCAAGCTCTGCCAAGAGCACGGAGAGCAGGCGACCGCAATGTTTTTCAGGCGACACTGCGGACCAACTGCCACCTCAGGCATTCTCACCATAAATCAGCGCAATGGCCAGGGCAAGCCGCCAGACAGACATCAAGCACTCGCGCCATCCCGGCGCAGCGGCGCTGCGCTTGCCGTGGCCCTGCTGATGTTCGGTCGCTGATTCATGTGCGCCGGCCTCGTGGTTTTCGTGAATCAAAGGCTCCTGCAGGAAAACAAGAGAGTTGCGCAGGTTCAAGGCAGTGAGAGTGCAAGTGAAGCCACCCAAGCACCAGCGTTCAAGATCAGTGCTGTTCCACTCCACGCCCAAGCAAGTGGTTGTAAATCCAAAGCGACCGCGCACCTCATCCGACAAAGGTGGCGCGCCTCCAACACCCCTGCCGCCTTGCGCGCCATCGCTCAGCGAGCTCACGCGACGTGCGAACCCTCCGCTGCCCCCATCCAGGCTGCCTCGCCGGGGGGTGCTGTGGCCGCTGCCGCCGCCCGCCGCCGCTGATGTGCGCCGCCGCCGCCAGTGCGCGACTACGCCAAGCCTCGGCAGGACAGCCGAATACACGCCAAAGCAGGCCAGGCTAAGCGCGGCGCTGAGGCCGAAGTACAGTGCGATGCTCTTCCGCAGCCCCTCTCGCGTGGCAGGCAGGGAGGCCTTGGTGGCGATGCGCAGCAGGCTGATGAGCGCGCCAGAGGAGGCCGTCCCGCCCACCACAGCCTGTGCGTTCCAAGAGGGACGGCAGCAGTGTGAGGGCGTGCCTGGCGCTCCATTGGACGTCAAGGCGAAGGGGCTCAGCCACAAGTCTGTGGGCCCAGGGCGCCACTTCATCCGGGCTCAGTCAGCAACCCAGGGGCAATCAGCTGCACGCAGGCAGTGCTGGCGCCAGCCGCTGTATGCCAGCGATGCAGGCTGGTGGGCGCCGTTGACGGAAGGCTGGCTTGCGAGCTGCGGCCGCGTGCGCCACTTCGGCAGACCCCTCTCACGTGCGTGTACTCGCTGGGCAGGGCCGCGGCGTCGCCAAAGATGGCGCCCTGTGACACGCCGTCCAGCACGCCCACGAGCAGCACCGTCAGCAGCAGCAGGCTGTAGGCGCCCGGCGGGCCGTCGGTGCTGGCGTCCGTCACGAACACGATGTCGATCTGTCGGGGGCATGCAAGGGTGCGATGCAGGCGCCAAGGGCTGCTGGGCCGAGCTGACAGCTGGGTTGCCGGCTCCGTCGCAGCTGCCCTCATCAGAGAGCCTCGCTCGACTCATTCACAGACCCTGCAGCTCGCGAAGCACGCAAAGCACGCAGGGCGCTGAGCGTGAATGGCGCAGGGCCGGATGAGGCGCACCATCGGGACTGCAAGCATCAATGTGAAGAAGCCCCCGAAGCCTGTGAGGATGCGCGCCCTGTGGCTGAGCAGCTTGGGGAAGCGGATGAACACGCCGATGAGCAGCAGGCAGGTAGGCAGGTAGCACACCGTGAAGGTGCGGTCCACGTGACGCCCCTGTGGCGGCCGCCCGCGGCGCGTGGCAGCACTGCTTGTAAAGTGGTTGTGGTGGGGGCGCATGGCGGCGCGTGCGCATCTCCCAGCAAAACCAGTTGCGCGAACGGCACAGGCGAAGCAGCAGACTTGGCAGACTGGCCAACAGGGTGCTCTGCTTTCTTTTGTTGACAGCAATGCCAGCCGTTTGGGGTGGCTTCAACAGAGGCGCCCCACCGGGTACACTGCTGCCCAGTAATCGGCAGCCATGATCAGGGCGTTCCACGGGGCGAGGACGCCGGCGCCCAGCAAGAAATAGCATCCATAGGCGAGCGCTGTATCTTGGTGCTGCGCTTGGATTGTGGAGCATGCGACATCTCGTGTTGCAGGCAAGGCCGTCGGCTGTCGTATGCGTGACCTTCACACGCACGTTCAAACGAGGCGCTTTGCTGTTTGAAGCAACCAACCGAACAACAGCACGCACAGCCACTATGCATGTGTTACACACAAAATCTGCACTAACTTGCGTCTGTGCCAAACACAGCATGGCGCGCAGCAGGTGTAAAAGTAGCAGCTCCATGAGCCAGAGAGCGCATCCAAGGCACAGGGTCACTGCAACGCTGGCGCAAGCCGCTTGGGCAGGCCGCAGCCCCGGGCTGCAGGCACCCTGAAAACACCACAGCTTGCACGCACAGCTCGCCTTGGGAATGGGTGCGGTGAGCCACGGTTCCACCCCATGTGCATGGTCATGGTGGTCCATCACTGGCCGAGTACCGCGAAGCTGGCGCCACGCAGCAGGCGTGTCACCAGAGCTGCGCAGTCATCGGCTGCTCCGCTGACCAATGGGGAGTTTTGTGCGTCACAAGAGTATGAGTCTCAGATCAACCGTTTGGCTTTTTGAGCAGTTCGTGTCAAGTACATTTCCTGTATAAATAACCCTCCAACCAATCCGAAGGTGTTGGCATATGATATTACGCGCATGCACTCGCAGCTGAAGCAGGTCACTTGACCCAGGTAGCTTGCTTACCCACTTGAGACCTGTTGTGGAAGGCCATTCGATCCAATTGTCTGCCACGGGGCCCACCCTGGGCTGCCGCACCGGCTGATCAGCCTCGATGAGGTCGCTTCCGGGGATCGGAGCGCTGGCCTACCTGCAGGATGGCGTAACCTTTTTCCCTAAATGGTGAGTGTATCGAGCCTGCGCACGACGCATCATACGCGGTGTAGCTAGCAAGCTGCTCATGGCCATCAGCGCGCAGCAGCGCGGCATGCGTTCCGATGCGGGGTGGCACGAGCGCGCAGCCGCAGCGGCAGCTCTTGAGCTTCCGTCGCACGTGTGCACTGCAGGTGGGAAGACCTGGAGAATAACCCCACGCTGCAGGCCTACACCAACTATGGCCTCGCGCTCGCATACGGATCGATTGCGCTCATCGCCCTGGTGATTAGACGCCGACCGCAAGCGCGGAACGCATGCTCGCACAGAGCCTACTGGCAGCGTGGTCTTATTCTTTTCACAGCCGGTCTCGTGCCGCTCTGCTGGCAGCTGCGGACCGACCAGGTGGCCAGCCGAGGAGTGCCAACCCCCTTCCCTCGCAGCCGTTCCCGAACCGCCGTCAGCCGTTGGAACCCCGGGTGCGCGCCCCATTCCCCCCCACCCTCAGGTCCAGCTGATCCGCATCCAGCTGCGCGTCCCCGAGTACGGCTGGACCACCCAGAAGGTGTTCCACCTGCTCAACGCGCTCGTCAGCTCGCTGCGCTGCGCCAGCTTCCTGTTCCGCGCCCAGATGGACGCGCTGCACCCGGACGTGCTGCGGCTGGTGCTGTACGACCTGCCGGGTGCGCGGCCGGGCGCACAGTGCATCATCGTTTTATGGGCGTGGGGCATGGCGGTTCGAGGGCCGTCGCATTGCGCTGAACCCCATGCGCCCACGTGGCCGGCAGTGGCACAGCGGTGGCGCTCGGCCGCCCGGAAGGCAGCTGCGGCGGACGCGCAGGCTGGCCCTGCACATGAAGGCGCCGCGTGCTGGTGCCGCCCGCCACGCTGTCGCTGGTTGCGCACGTGTGCGCCGCTGATTCGCTCCAACTTCGACTCTGGTCCCCCCCTCCTAGGCCTGCTGTTCTTCACCACTTACACGCTGCTTGTCCTCTTTTGGGCGGAGATCTACCACCAGGCGCGCAGCATGCCCACGGGGTCGCTGCGTCCCATATTCGTCGCCTTCAACGGCGTTGTGTACGGCGTCCAGGTGGGTGGGAAGCTGCGGGGCGCGGGCGAGTGCACGCGGCTTGGGCGCGGGCCGCGGCCCGTTTGGTCCAGACTACGCCCGTGCGCCGTCCTGCCTGCGCCCGCGCCAGCGGCCGGTGCCCCTCAACCCTGCGTCCCTGCCTGCCCTGCGCGGCCAACCCAGGGCGCCCTGTGGGCGTACGAGAGCATGGCGGTCAGCGCGTCGCAGGACCGGGTTTCGCGCGTGCTGAGCGCCGCCTTCCTGGCGGCGGTGTCGCTGGCGGCGGCGGTGGGCTTCCTGCTGTATGGCGGCCGCCTGTTCCTGATGCTGCAGCGGTTCCCCATTGAGAGCCGGGGCCGCAAGAAGAAGCTGCGGGAGGTCGGCATGGTCACCACCATCTGCGCCGCGTGCTTCACGCTCAGGTGGGGGGCGTGGAGGGGGTTATATGGGGCTGGATCGGTGGAGGGCTGAGATCAAGGCGGTTAGGGAGGGCGCAGCGCCGGCGCACGACTCCAGCCCTGCTTGTCTGTGAAGCCTGGGCGCACGGGGACGCAGCTCGCTGCGCCCCTGCGCCCCTCTTCTTCACGCCACCCGCAGAACACGCCCGCGCGTGCCGCCTGCGCGCCGCCCACCGTCGACCCTGTCCTGCCCCCAGGGCGGTGCTGGTGGCGCTCAGCGCCATCGACGACCGCGACCTTGACCTCGACGTGGCGACCCACCCGCTGCTCAACCTCCTGTACTACGGCCTGGCGGAGATCATCCCCTCCGCCTGGGTCCTGTACATCCTGCGGAAGTTGCCGCCCAAGCGCACAGCGCAGGGGTACCAGACGATACCGTCGAACGCGTGAGAGGGCGCGCACGCGCCCGTGTGACATGACTCGGCGGCAGTTTTCCGGGGCCTGGCGAGCAGCAGATGCTTCGAGGCTTGGCAGGCACACCTGCTGAAGGGCAGGGACGGCACCACGCGCACGTGCTGATAAAGCCGCGCGCAAGCTCATTCATATTGTCCCCCTTTCCCCGCATGCCCTCAGTGCATCGTCGCTGCTTGCGCCTCAATTTCTGCATTGAACTCTCATCCTCTGTAATGCGGCTTTGCATGCGGCGTGGTCAGCGCCTGCTCTCTTGTAATTGTTGTGCGGGCGCCGTTGGTGGGTGAGAGAGGCAAGTGGTGGACTGAGCCGGTATGCCACCCCACAAGATAATCACACAAGGCATGCAAGGCCGTGGAGCCAATCTGCGTGTCCTTGCATTCGGCTGCCTAAACAATGGAGTGCCTGCGCAATGAAGTGCCTCCCTGCTGCTCACTACAGCCATATCCTTCAATCCAGCCACAATCCTCAATTTTGTGGGTAGGGGGAAATTCTCATGTGCAACACAGAAACTCTTGAGACTTTTGCCAGACGGCTGGCACACCTCAAGCTTGTGCGCCCGCAGAGGCAGTTGCTGGTGAGAGCACCAACATGATGATTTCATTGTCTTTGGCTGAGGAGTGTCACAGGGAACACACGTAACTGGTCTTGGTGGGGGCGTGATGGCAGCAACTGAATTGTGGGCGCGCTTGCATTCAGCCACTGCAACGCCGCGGGGACAAATCTAGCTTCACCAGTCAAATGTCAGTGGGATGCGGATTTCATGCGACGCCTCCATCCCGGCCCTGACTGCAAGGTTGACTGCCCAAGATGATGCCCGGCTTGGCAACCGCATGAGCATGATGTGCACTCACAGATGCCCAAACCAGGCAACCTTCACAGGCCTGTCACTTGGGGCAGGCATGCCAGCTGTGGCTCAAAAGCTGGTCAACCCCCAAAGACTAGTTTTGAGGCAGGCCGCAGCACCTCTGATAGGCGACGCTTGACCACCCACCACATACTTCAGCATGATCCTCAAGCCCACGAGATATACTGTCAACTTCTGCGAGCACAGCCCAGGGGTGCTGTCTTCTGGATGTTGCAGCAGCCGCTTCCCTGGCCAGCAAACCCCAGCAGCGTTTGCACCATGTGATCATGCGGGCCTAGAAGCGTTACACCGGGGGGCACCCTGATAGTGCCTCAACAAGCTGGAGCAGCGCGCCCAGCACCGCCTCGTCCGCCGCCGCTGCCCGATCAGGCCTTGTAGCCGCGGCTGTTCCTGCGACCACGCGCCTTCTCGAACTTGCGACCCTTGGAGCGCACGTAGGGCTTGGTGCTGGAGTGCGGCACGCCGGGGGCGGGGCCGAAGTGCTTGACGGCCTCGCGGTTGTTCTTGGGGCCGCGCAGCAGGACGCAGTCCTTGCCGGTCGGGCGCTCCAGGGCGAGCTGGTCGAAGGTCAGGCACTCGCCGCCGGCCTAGGGATGGGGCGGGGCCCAGTGGTGGGGGGCGGCTCAGCATGTGGTGCACGGCGGCCACGGAAGGACTGTTGAAGAGCTGCTGGCGCTGCTTGCGCTGGTCTCGCAGCCCCTTGGAAGATCACGATGACTCAGGGTCCGCCGCAACGGTCTGCCTGGGTGCAAGCACCTGCCGAGCTGCCCTGCAGCAACACACCAGTGCCGTTGCCCTGCCTGGCGCCTGCAGGAACCGACATCAACCCCCGCGCTGCCGGCAGCGGCAGCGAGCGCCGCCAAGACTGCAGCTGGCACCCCTCTCCGCGCGCACCTTGACGATGCGCGCGCGCGCGGTCTCGGTGAAGCGCAGCGCCGTCACCCGCAGCTTGGGCACCTCGTGCAGGCGCACGTCGTCCGTCACGGTGCCGACCAGCACCGCCACCTTGTCCTCCTGTGGGCAAAAACACGCCAGGCGGGACGCGAGTGGCCGCAGCGGGGGTTGAGCCGCGCCGCGGCGGGGCCGCTGCATGCGTTGCGGCGTGCGGGCTGCCGCCCGTAGCCTGCTGCGCTGGCTCGGCCAAAAATCTGCAGCAGCGGCCACTCCTGCTGCACTGCACCCGAAGTGCTGCACTGCACCCAACCTGCTGCCCGCGCAGAAGCTGGATCCCACCAGTCCTCCCTAACCAGCCGAGCGAGCTGCCAGCTCCACCTGCTGCAGCGTGCCGGCCAACGAACGCCCCGCCGCAGGGCGCACCACAGCCTGCCTTGTCGCCGAGGCCGCTACGCTCGCAGCTGCGCTTCCCATTGTGCTGCCGCAGGTCAAGGGCCACCGGCAACAACCCGGCCACCACGCACCTTGCCGGCCATGAACTTGGCGAGCTTGGAGAGGGACAGCGGCGGCCTGTTGATCTTGCTCATGAACAGCCGCTTGAGCACCACCGCGTTGAAGTTGCTCTCTGTCCGCCTCTCCAGGAAGCGGTACAGCTGCAGAGTGGAGGGCAGGCACGATGCAAGGAGTGTCGCCGGTCTTGGCCTCACCAGGCGCACGCGCTGCACCACCATGAGCGGGAGCCTGCCTCGCTGACACGCCCTTCCTAGGGAACACGCACCTTCACCAGCAGCTTCAGGTACACATTGTCGCTCTTAGGAGCGGTGCGGTGCTTCTTGGTGTTGCGGCCACCGGCCACCAGGTCGATACCCTGCAGCATGCAGCAAGACGGCCGCCGCAGAGGTGCGCACGAGCGTCAGGGGCGAAGCGCGGCGCACTCGCTGCATCTACACCCACCCACGACCAAAGTGCTGACACTTTTGTCGTGATGCAGTGCATGGCCCGGGCCAAGTAGGCCTGCTGCTGCACCATGGCGCGGGTTGCCCGAAGTGCTGCTCTCCTCTGCTCGTCCAGGGAGCACAGAGCCAGAGTCCTCGCAACTATTTGCATCGCTAGCCGTCCTTGTCCTCTCATGCTGGCGGCAGCCTCGTGTGATCCACTGCCGGCTGCTTATGACAAGGCGCGCTCACCATGGTTATCAAGCTGCTGCTGCTCTTCCTGAGGCCACAGCTGCCAAAAGAGGGAGGGCACGTCGGCGTCGTGACCCTCAAGGGCAAAGCCGGTTCTGGCTGCCGAACTCCCGTGTTGATTGCGACATCGTCCCGGGCGCTGCTCTCGTCCTTCGCGGTTTCCTCGATTAGAAGTTGTGTTTTCAGAGCACCTAAGGGCCTGACTCGACATTGGAGAGCCACACTAGAGGAACTGTGCTGCTGGTGCTTGCAGCGGTGTTGAATGCATGCAACGTACGGTACCACCAGGGTTGCGTACATTACCCTGTCATAACTGAATCAGATGGAGAATTATACCGTGCTTCCTCTGGTTTCTGCACCGTTACTGTCCCTTATGGCTCTGCTTGCCATTTGTTGATTGCAAGTCAATGCGTTTTTGACTGCTGGCCGTGAAGCCGGCTGAAACAGGTGCGAGGCGCACGCCGCTTCGTAAGTATAGGGCTGCCCGCACCGCACATGATCATCGCTTGATGATAGCAATTAGACTCTACCTTCTGGCATGCCGTGACCTGCAGTGTGTGGCAACTGCACATGTGCGCACGCTGGGTCACTGGGGGGCCCTTTGGTAGGGGCCACAGACGCACGTGTCGTCACTGATGCCGCCGGCGCCCAGAGCAACGCGGCCGAGGTGGCAGTGGGGTCGGCGCTGCTGCTGTCTGCGGCGGCGGTGGCGCTGCTGCGGGGCCACGGGATGCTGTGTGACCACCTGGCTGAGCTGAGCTACACCAGCAGGCTCCTTCGCTTCCTCGCACGCCGCGCCCCTTGGGCAGCGGCGGCCGCCACGTCAGGCACTCAGCAGCAGCTGCAGGCCGCGACTATGCCGCCTGACGAGCTGGGGAGCAGCGCGCTGCGCCTGCTGCACCAGCTTGCGTCGAGCGTAGGGGCATCTGAAGCGCTCGCGACCCCACAGCAGCGCGCCCTTGTGCCAAGCAACCCTGATGGCAGCAATGGCGTGAGGGCCCGGCGCGAGCGTCCCGGCGCTGCTGGAGACTCTGAAGCCCACGCTTGCGCCCGGAAACCGGCAGCGCGACACGCTGGTTGCACAAGCGCTGCAGGCGCAGCTTCCGGCGTGGCTGCTGCAGCCGGGAAAACTTGCGTCTACTGTACCCGATCTTCAGTGTGCACCGAACAACAGCCGGTAGCTGCTTTGAAAGGCAGCACTTTGACGCTCTGCCTATCAATTATGCACCACACACTCTGATAAGCTATATCCACCAAGTCATGCATGTGCAACTGGTGTTACATCAGCTGTGAGCTAGTCACCAGGCTGGTTGTCGGCTTGACTGGTTGATTACTAGCTGTGTCCCCGAGGCGGACGTGGCTTCCCCGAGGTCCGCGTTCTTCTATAATATAAAGCTGTGACATATTCAATGACACGCGTTCGTTTTGTCACTGAGCACCTTATAGCGGCAAAGATCATTGGATCTTGATCTCGCGGATGCGAGCATATGTGAACTGGGCGCCACGGGTCACACAAGTTCTGTATCGTAGTGTTCGACGGCGAAACCAGCTGCCGCCCAAGCGCACGCCAATCCGGCGACGTCAACAAATGCAGCATGAGGATGCGAGCACATGCGATACCGGCAGCATGACCGCCGCCGCCCTGTTGGCCGCGTTGCCATCGCTCGGAGTCACACGCAACAGCTCTTGCGACGTGCTGCCCAGCCTGTCCGAGCTGCTGCGCATGCTGCAGGAGGCTAACGGCATCGCATTGGCGTTTGCTCAGCAGCGGCCGGACGTTCAAAATGTAACGAAGCTCGCGCGGCGCATCCAGCAAAACGCGAGGTACGTTGAGGCGCAGATCGCTGCCCAAGCAACCTCCTGTGCCGCTGCAGCAGCAACAGCAGCAACACCAGCGGCTGCTGCTGCAGCAGCGCCGGCAGCAGCAGCAGCCGGCGCGGCAGCGGGCGCCAGCGCTGATGCATCCGTCGCCGGCAGCGATGTCCAGGCATCGCAGCAGGCGGGCAATCCTGCAGCCGCGGGGTCTGGGGGGGCCGCAGCTGGGCCGGCGGACGGGCGCGGCCCAGTGGCGGCGCCCTTGGCGGCAGAGAGGGTGCAGGGCATCATTAATAACATCCGCGGGCTGGCGTCAGAGCTCCAGGCCCTCCACGAGGCGCCAGGGGTAGTCGCTGTGGTCAAGAAGTTCAGGGGCGCCGCGGCCGGCGGCGGCGGCGGTGGCGGTAGCAAGGCGGGCGGCGCCGGCGGCGGCGGCGCAGGGGGAGGGCCGGCGGCGGGGGTGGAGGTGGACGTCGTCGCACACGGCGGCCAGTCGTGGATCGAGGTCAAGGGCGGACAGGTCGGCATGGGCCACGGCGCGGATGAGCGATGCCACTTATTCTGCACACCCACGGCCTGGGCTGGCTCGGCACAGGTCCGTCCTTGCTGCGGCACGTGCTGCCTCCCGGCTGCACGGCCGCAACAGCCGTCCCCCACACGCTCCCGTGCAGGCGTTTGGCCTGGGCTCGAGCCGGTGGCTGGGCCAGCAGGGGCTCAAGGGGCAGGTGCAGGCCATGCTCGCCGCCGCCCGCGCCCCCGGCGCCGCCGTGCGCTACCGGCCCCCACAGGTCAGCCTTCAAGATGGGAGCCAGCCGGCCCCTGGCCCGCGTTCGCCACCGCGTGCGCCTCGCTCGTTGTGGGCGCGGAATCCTGGTCGCCCCTGCAATTGCGCGCCGCGGCGCATGCCGTGGCGCAGGCGTCGCACACGCCGATCCGCTTGCCTGCTCCGCGCATCCCACCCATTCGCCCCACCGCGTGGCCCGCGCAAACCATCAATACAGGTGGTCGTGTTCTGCCCCTTGGGGGCCGACCCTGAGGTTGTGGCCGAGCTTGAGGCTATGGGCGCCACAGCCGCGGTCGGGATAGGCGAGCGCCCGCGCGGCCCCGCGCGCGCCGGCAGTCCCTCCTCATGGGGGCGACGGCAGTTGTTGGCTCGCGCTCGCTTGTCGCGTTGAGATGCCTAGGCTGCATGGCCGCAGGCACTGCCGCATCAACCAGTTTGGACGCGCTCAGAGCTTTGTATTGCCAGCGCAGCTGCCTGGCGTTCTGACTCTTGACAGGAGACGCGACAAACCCGCTGCGCCGACGTTTGCCGCCCTTGTCTCCGCGCCGCAGGCTCGCTGGCCGGCCTGCCAGAGCCGCACCCGCCCCCCACCTGCACCAACCTGGATACGACGACGCTGTGCGCCCTGGTGCGGCGCACGCTCCCGCGGCGGCCCGCCGCGCCCACACGCCATCGCGTGCCCCGACTCATGCCCCCTTTGCTGGAGATCGCTAGTACCTCCGTGTTTGCCTGGACATCGCGTGTTTGCCAATGCCACAGCCGCCAGCGAGGCGTCTGGCAGCCGCGCCACGCTCATGTACAATCGGCCCTCGCGGCGCGCGGCGCGCCGCCCAGGTGTCGGAGGCGTCCCACCGGCCACCGACTGACGAGGCCCTCGTCCGCTGGGCCAGCCGCACGTCACACTGGCGGGTGGGTGATGCACACGCCCCCCCCCCCTGGCCACCCACGTCACCTCATGGACATCTTCTTTTAGCGCGTGCATTGGGCATTTCGAGCGGCCCGACCCACCTCGTGCTCGTTCAGTGACAACTTGCATCCCCAGACCCCAGGTGCTCCCGCGCGCCGCCCCGCCCCGCCGCAGGACTGCCTGGTGGCCGAGGCGGCCAGCCCGCTGCTGCCCGAGCTGCGGCCGCACGTGTGGGCCCCTGGCAAGCGCCTAGTTGCCGCGGCCACAGCCGTGGCCCAGTTTGAGAAGCTGCTGGCGGACTTTGCTGGCCCCACTGAGAAGAAGCGGTGGCAAGAGGAGCTGCTGCCGCAGCTCGCAGTTTACGTTGTCGCCGCGCAGGATGATGTGGGGGATGGAGGGTTGGAGGGCAGCAAGGATCGAATTGAAAGTGTCGGTTCAAGAGATGGGCGTGAAGGAGGCGGCGCAGACAGCTCCGCGGCGAGCGCCGCCGGCAACACCAGCAGCGGCAGTGGCGGCAGCAGCCGCGGCGGCGGCGCCGGCTGCGCGCTGCGTGTGTTTGCCATGCCCCCGGCGGTCGCGCGGCTGCGGCTGGGGCGGCAGCAGGCCGACGTGTTTGGCCTCGGCGCGGCGCTCGAGGCGCTGACGCTCACGGCCAACTCCAACGCCGTGCGCTTCCTGGACGACAACGCAGTCGCGCTCGAGACGTTTGTGCACCGGCCGGTGTGGCTGACAGGGCTGTGAAGGCGGCCGCTGGCCGTGAAGCGCCATTTCCTTTAGCGCCGTGGGCGGGGCTGTCAGCCATGGCGCGCGGTGGCACACGGCGACCGTGCTGCAGCAGCGCAGCAGGGACAAATGGCGACAGGGCCCTCTTGTGCATTGATGATGGTCCGAACAGGTGAGAGACAGTCGGGAGGGGGGATGCGATGCCCCCAAAGGCAATTCGGCCTGTCTCTGTTGGCATGCCCATTGCATTGCGCAGCTTGAGGCACGTGATCCTTGGGCATTGTTTTGTCTTCAAGAGGCAGCACTGTCATGCTTCGAGCACCTGATGATGACCACCCCAACAGGCACCCCGGCGGCGTCGGCACTGCTAAGCACTGCGAAGTGCACCTGCAGGAGGCAGCACTGCGCGCTTGGATGGGCCCTATTTGTGCAACATCCTATGTAACCAGCAGCACATATTCCTTCTACCTTGCTGCACATTTGCAGCAAGATGTGGGCGCAGTGCGAGGGGCAGCTGCAAAATGCAGGGGATCCAGCAGAATGGAACGCACCTGGCATGCGGCTCTCAGCAGACAGGCAGGAGGCACAGCCATACAAACCCTTAAGCGACGTTTAAATACCATCTTCACTATGTGAATTTATAAGTCATCGGAGCCTGGCCTATTCTAGCCCTCATATCATACTGTGAGGTACGGTACTCGCTCGGGAGAGGTTCGTTCTGTCTCCACTCGGAACCTGTGTCGCCTCAGCGCCTTGCAACCTGAGATTACAGCACGCATAAGACGCACATAAACTACTCTTACGGTCGCACAGTCTCATTTCAGTCTCCTCCTCCACCCTAGAGTGCGGCAGCTCCAGGTGGGTGTGCCTTACCTGCATGCGCCATACAGTACAAGCACAACACAGCTTTCATCTGCAACCTGCGTGCGTCGCTGTGTGACGCTGTACGCATCAGCAGGCGCTCGCGCTCAACAAGTGCCATGGGCCTGAGAGACCTCGCGGTGGGTGGGATGACAGCTGCAGTGCCTCTCAGCAACTGTGCTGTGCCGCTGGGCATGCGCGGTACATTCTGCTTGTATGTGTTGTACATTCTGCTTCTGTTGTAGAAAAAATAACACAAGACATGAACACAAGTCATAGGGGCGTGCTGGCCAGTGGTTGGAAACATGCGACTGCCACACAGCGGCCTCCTTCGTATCCTCATTGCACTCGCATTTTCCTCGGCACACCTCCGGGATCCCTCTGCCGCAGATTGTGCTTGGGTTGTATGCCGTCTATGCCGCTGTCAAATCATCGGCTACGTCTGGACTGTGGAGGGCAGCGGGGCCGCTAAGGCGCCGGCAGCCCTCCAGCTCGCGCCGTGCCCCTGCACGCCTCACCACTGGCGGCTCCCGCAGGCGGCTCCTGGTCACGCGCAGCTCCTCCTTTGCAAAAGTGCCACCGTGCCTCAGTTTGTCGTTTGCGAGGGCGTGGCACAAGCTGGTAGCGCGAGTCACTGCCAAGAAGCTTCCCGTGGAGCTTCTCGGCACCCCCTGCAGGCTGGCTGAGACCAAGCTGGCTTCTGACACCCGCGACCGCACCGACCTGGTGGTACCAGCAGCCCGCGCCTTGTCTGCGACAAACGCTCAAGATCCCTGGCCGGCGCTTGATCTCTCGTCACGCGCGTTTGCAGCCTCTGCAGCCCGGGGATCTGGGGTGGCCGTCGCTACTCACACGGCCGCACAGACTGGCCAGGGGCATGCTAAAACCCCCAGGTCTTTCGCTCAACTACTTGTGAATCGCCGCCGCATCGCTCAGCAGCAACGGCGGCCGCAGCAGCAGCAGCAGCACCACCACCACGACCACCACCACCATGAGCAGCAGCAGCAGCAGCAGCAGCAGCAGCAGCAGCAGCAGCAGCAGCAGCAGCAGCAGCAGCAGCAGCAGCAGCAGCAGCAGCAGCAGCAGCGAAGACGCTCAAGCCTGTCTCGGGAAGTGAGCCTCATTTCTAGGACAAGTTTGCTCCCTCTTGGCGCGCGCAGCAGCTGCCAGCCAGACACGCCTCTTTCCCCCTGTGCAACCCCTGCATCAGGATTAGGCACGGGCAGCAGCAGGTCATCCACGCCCCACGGGTCTGCCGAGGTCGTGCGAGCCGTGGCACGCGCTCAGGAATGCACCACCAGCGGCGGTCCCGTCCAATGCGCCAGCGGCGGCAGCGGCGGCAGCGGCAGCCGCAATCGCAGCGACGACCACCTGTCGCTTGAGCTGATGTCATTTGCGACTGCTGCGACGCAGCCCACGGTGATTGCTCGAGGGGGAGCAGCCGCGGCTGCACCCAGCAGGGTCCCGGTGCCGTGCGGCAGCGCTGCGGCGAATGCCGGCTGCAGACGCGGTGCGGCAGCCACCGGGCCTTGGCTGGGGCAGCACACGCATCACCAGCGGCAGTGGCAGCAGCAGATCAGTGTGCGCTGACTGTTGAGAGGGCTGCATTTGCACCTGTGTAAGGCCGTCGCGCTCATTTCTTCCGCGCAAGTTTTTGCACTTGAAAATCTGCACACTGTTTGCATGCGCATTGTTGCCTGCTGGTGGCTTACACCCTTTCCAGGCGGCTTTTGTGTGTCCAAACATTCGCTGTAATTGGTACCCCTTCTCCCCCTTTTTCGTTTGATTGCGTGGCATCATGAAACAGGGTAATGCACCATCGCAGAGACAGTGTCTTACTTGTTGATTGTAAAGAAGGACGCGCTGCCTGGTTGCGTGCGACGGCCGTGCATGCAGCGGCGCCGCATAATCATCGATGAGCTGACCGTGTGGGATTGCAAAAGAGCGGGCATATGCCATTGACATACCATTGTGCTGGGAACTTACAGCAGAGCCGATAGACCCCGCCGCCACAGACCTTCTGCGAGCCCGCGCCCCCGCGAGCGACAGCGTGCACGCGAGCGGCACCACGAAAAGGGCAGCTTGGCAGTGTCTCAGGCCCCACGGAGTGCAGGTGCACCACCCGCATGCCCGGCGGCGCGTCACAGGAGTTATGATGGGTGCGCTCGCTGAGTCCCTAGGCAGAGCCGGGACAGCGCGTCAGCGCCGCCCATGTGAGCTGGCGCAGCCAAACAATTGGCTGCGACCGCGCCATCCAACCCCGATTTTTCCGTGCAGACGTGACGCAATCCCAAATGCCGGGCGCCAGATCAGACCAGATCAGATCCAGATCATGGCGGGCCGCGTCAGTTTTGCCGGTACCCGATGTACTTGGCGAGCGCGACGAGCGGCGCGGCCTTCTGCTTGTCGAAGCCGTCAAGCTGCTGGATTGCCTCCGTGATGAGGTTGTCCGCCACCTCGCGGCTCTTCTCAATGCCGAGCAGCTTGGGGTAGGTGGTCTTGTTGACGGCCAGGTCCTTGGCGGCGGTCTTGCCCAGGACCTCGGTGGGCTGGGTGATGTCCAGGATGTCATCGATGACCTGCATGACGCCAGGGGGGCACCAGGGGCGACAC